ACTGAACTTTATAGCAAATATTCTTTAGAACCAGAGCAGAGTGATGAGTATCATAAATAAAATTTTAGGTTAAATATTTTTTAACATGGCTTTTCATGAGCTGTGTTGAGGATAAATCAGAATAGGTTCCTGATATCCCCCCAAATCTTTTTTTCTTTCTGAAAGAGATGTGACAATTTGCTAATACATATTAGTATTTTCTCAATATTTCTAAAATTTTGTTCTCTCTCAATGTAAATGCTTGAATAAGCATTGGTTCAATGAAATATTAGATTTATTGATATTGATGGAACAAACTTTGATTATACAGCAGCACTAAATACTTTGTGAATAATTGTTAGTGGCTAAATGTTTGCTAATGTACTCTTGAAGCTTTTTTGAATAAAAAATGCATACATAGATATGGACCAAATTTCTCAAAGGAGAACCATAGCATCATCTAAAGTAAAGAAAGAAAGGTCGGAGAAAGAAAAGCATGGAAAGACAGAAGGGAGAATGAAGGAAGGGAATAGAGATTGTCACCCTGTGTTGCCTTATTATATATATATTTTTGTAGTTGTTTAAATACATGAGTAAGAAGAGATTTAGTAAATGATGTTGGAGAAAAGAAGTTAAGTTCTTTGGAAATTACTATAGTTGCAATACATGTTAGAAAAACACCAGTCACTGGACACCTATAGTGTTGTGATGGGTTTTGGGGGGAAGCATCTGCACTGTCTGGTGTAAGACCTAGGCTGAGAGCAGCAGAAACCAGGGAGCTAGACAGCACAGCATGGCCTGGGGACAGGAATGCATACCCGGGTTCCAGGAGCTGGTCATTCTGTTCTTCTGGTTATTGAGAAGGAAAATGTTTACTCCTTTAACTGGCACATTTTTGTCCGACTTGTTTTCTTCCTATGCCACTTCACTTGCTGCAACACTTTCAGGCCCATGGGGGCTGGGATCTGTCTGTGGATTACTGAGTGGCAGGTCCTCAAGGGACAATTAAGAAGAGCCATTTCTTCCACACTAGCAATCATGGGCACAGCCTTGCTGCCTCTCTCCTCTACTGCACTGCTGAGAGGATAGGATCAGGAGTCACAGTGATGGGATAACTGGGGACACAAGAAAACAAATCAGCAGCAGAAAACAAATGGGTGCACAACATGCAAGAGATGCTTTTATATTGAAACAGCAAGAAACCCATTAAATAAAATAAAATACATTCTGCCAGAATGAGGACTCATTATCCTATTGAAATAGGCAATATTTTGGAGTGAAGGAAAAGATAGTGTGGCTCAAAATAATGAAAAATGTTTCCTTCTGACTAGAGTGAGCATATTCAAATCAGAAGACAGAGACTTCCAACACTCAATAAAGTGCATATTAAAAATGCTTTAAAATATTGCTACTTATAATATTCCTCTTCTAGAGTGTATTTATATGCAGCAATAATACTATCAAAGACCAGAGCCCCAGTAAGAGATACTCCTTGTTACCTATTGTCAGCATCCTATCCTTATTCTAAGGAACTAAAGTTTAATTTTGTTTGTGGCAAGTGTTTTGGAATACAGTTATGGAATGGTCCAGTCATTTCTTCACTTATTCAATAAATATATATCAAATGGCTTCTATGTGCCAGGCATTAGAGGCATAACAATAAACAATGACATGTTGTTTTCTCCTGTAGCCTGATGGGCCTAAGATCTCGTAGAACAATAGTTAATATTTGTCAAATACTTTCACAGTAAACATTTCACATTGCACAATCTTATGCAACACTTGTAATAGTCCTATGAAATAGACATTTTTTTCATACTTTGTGCATGAGGAAAATTAGAGTCAGAGCTTGAGTGATTTGCCCAAAGTTAACATGCTAAATAATGGTTGAGCCAAACTTCAGACAAGGTCTGGCTGACTTCCCCTGATCTCTTTTTACTATGCCTTACCTCACTTTCCCATATACTGTGGGTGTTGTCTAAGAAGGAAATGCAAAATAATATCCTTGACCTAGAAACTCCTTCTGTACCTTATTTACAATTTCCTGAAATCACTTGCTCTGTGTAGACACAGCTAACCTTCCTTTAGACCTGCCCTCTTTCTTTCCCAGATTCCCTGTAGACTCAATGAGGTAAACAGACCAAAATCTCACTCACACAATTCGTCAAAATTAATAATCTGAAGGATACTCTAACTGTAATTGTCCTTCATTTTTACCTGATTCTTTTTCTTTCTGGTCAGTACTGCTTCCTCTACACACAATACAAAAACTGCACCAGCATCCCTTGCTCTTACGTTGAATATTATTAGTATGTAGTTACTGTTCAGAATTACTTTAGAATTATCAATTTATAACAGTTTATTAATTGATAAATTAATAAATTTGAACTATTTAAAATCCAATAATTACTGCCACATTAAACCGAACATGCTTTGTAATTTTCAAAATGTTTGCAAATATATTATTTAAATTAATCTTTACAAAAAGAACTGTTTGACACAGCAGTTTTGGCACAGTTTATGTTTGCCTTTCTACCTTCCTCCTCATTAAAGGAATTTGTCCTAATTAGTGTACATAACTCAATGAAAGGAATTAGAAACCAATAGGCCAAGAAAATGCTGAAATGTACATTTTTTGAGACAAACTTTAGGAGACATAAACAATGTGCACAGGTTTCAATAATTTTAATTTAGGTTATATTTAAATATTAATGATAACAAATAAAAAGCTAATATCTTTCCATAGATCATTTCCTTCCTCCTGAAGGAATTTTTTTTCATTCTTCACCTTTATTTACCTGTTTCTTTTTCTCTCTGATCAGTTCTGCTTAGTAAAAGAAATAAAATAAAATTTAAATTTAGAAGTGTAGACTTAATACAGTTTATACAAATGTGTAGTTCTCACCCTCTTACATATGTCCAAGAGAAATAAATTGGTCACAAATCAATCCTGGCATTTAAAAACTATCTGTTGAATATATTTCCTCTTGCAAAGATATTTTAAATATCTCCTGCTGCTAAGTTGACCCATGTCTGCTATGTTTTCTCTAAGAATTCAACTCAATTTTTTCTAGAAATAAATGATTTTTCACTGTAAAATAACCTATACACCAAAAGGGACAGATATGATTTTCCTGGTCCATGTAGTACCAACTAAATATTTTTATCAGTCTCTGCAAATGTTAGGATACTGGCAAATTAGGGGGGGTAAATATAGTCTTTAAATCCATCATATTAAAAAAATAAGTAGTACCTTTGCATGTCATTATGATGCAACAAATCAGTACTGTTTTATTTTTGCTGTTTTGAATAATATTTAAATATATTTATATATTGATCATCATAATATTACATATTTTCTTTTCAGTATTGCTTTTATGCTCTATCTTAATATTTTACATTCAATTTTATGTCATGAGGTTTTTCTATCCTATTTCTTATATATTCTTTGAAAACTTGATTTAATATCCTTTCAAATTGAAGGGCCTACTGTGTCCCAATTGAAGAAGTCTGTTTCTAATGCCCTGGAATATTAAAAAATTTGTTATACCTCCACCATAATGCCCTGCCTGTCACGGCATGTGGGATCTTCCCGGACCGGGGCACGAGCCCGTGTCCCCTGCATCAGCAGGTGGACTCAACCACTGCACCACCAGGGAAGCCCTGCAATGCTTTTAATTAAAATGATTAACATGCTTTCAAGTTTAATAGCATGTAGATCCAAAAAAGTTTCACTGCGCTGACTTGTGTACACATAAGTGTTCCTATTGATCTGTGAACTTCTTAAGGGTAAACAGACTATGTCTTTCTTATAGATTCCTTTATCTGTATGCTTGGTCGCAGATGGATTTACAAAGAAGATGATGAAGCTTAAGTCATGGGACCCCTCACTTACATGGGGCTATTTCAACGTCCTGAAACCTCACCAGTATAATCACGTGGTCATAAGTTTTTGCAGAATTTATAAAAGCAAGATATTTTATTTAGACTGCTGCATAGTTTCATAGCTTAGTTTATATTAGTAATTTTATCTTCTTGTCTTAAAAGATGGTTCTCCAAATTTTAAAGATTTGGCCACACAAAACCTAGATTCTTCCTTATAAGGAGTAATTATTTACTTTCTGTTAAATGAATAAAAGAAAGAAATGAAGAAGGGGAAAGGGAATGAATATATTATTAATCAATACATTTTAATGTCTAAATATTAGCATTTCTGGCAAAATTTTTCCATAAGCCACCAACAGGCAATGCTAACATATAACTCTTGTACAGTGTCTATGCATTTACAAAGCCCTTATACAAATACATCTTTTATTAAATCTTTCTACCAGCCCTTCAAGTAAATTTAATCTTCAATTAAAATAATTGACATTGAAATGTTCACAACTGTGCTATTTGTAAAAACTATATTACTATGCTCAATTATTAAAAAGTTAAAAACTAAAACATATCAATTGAGTGACTTGTAATGTTTCTTACCATGTCAATACTGGGAGGCAGCTGAAGCCCTGATGCAGAATCTACTCTTTTCATTACAACACAGGGTTTACAAATGTACATAAATAAACTAAAACATTCTACAAATAAAAAATATAAAATAGGGGCTTCCCTGGTGGCGCAGTGAGAGTCCGCCTGCCGATGCAGGGGACACGGGTTCGTGCCCTGGTCTGGGAAGATCCCACATGCTGCGGAGCGGCTAGGCCCGTGAGCCATGGCCGCTGAGCCTGCGCGTCCGGAACCTGTGCTCCGCAACGGGAGAGGCCACAACAGTGAGAGGCCCGTGTACTGCAAAAAAAAAAAAAAACAAAAGAAAAGAAAAGAAATATAAAATAAAATAGAATTGGTAATGTTGTTGACTCCAAATGATGAACATTCTCCCTTCCTTTTCTTCCCTTTTCCTTCTCTTCTTTCTCTTCTCTTCTCTTCTCTCTCATCTTTTTATGCAGGTGTTTAATATTCTCCAACTGCCATAAAGTTAAAGCTTTTTTTGAAAATTGAACCTAACCTCTACTGAACACAAGATGAAAATGTGGTTGCTGGTCAATCACCTTGTGATTGTATCTTTTACAACCTGTCTATCAGGTAAGAAATATCCTTTGTATAATCTCCATAAATTATGTCAATGTAAATAATATGCTGTTCACTTCATTGACTCTGATGTATAAAGTTAGAATTAATATTTTCTTTTGACACCTGGGTCAGACAAGTAAATTCATATATATTAAGGTTGGCCCTTGTTTTCTTTCCTTTTTTTTTTTTTTTTAAGTTTCAATTAAAATTCACAAGATTTAGTTAATCAGTCTTATATAGTGATGTGCTGGTAAATGTTTAAAATCTGGATCTCTGGGAGGAAAAGAAAAATCCCTGCTGTGTAGCATTTGCCAATTCCTAGAGAGTAAGTCATCCTACTATTCTCAATTTCAACTTGAAATCATTTAATATGGTAGCAGAAAAGATATGTAACAGCTCACCATTATACAGTATGTTCACTATATAGTTATAATAGACTTAACCTCATTAGCATACATAAAAGTAAAATACAGTAAAATAATTAGAAAATAATGGATTTTAAGCTTTTGTTACCTTTGTTCTTACTTATTTATAAGTTAATATAATTTAATTTTTATTATTGTCTGGTCAATCTTATGAAAAACAATTCAGAAATAATCTACAATGTATTCAGGGACTTAAGAATAACAAAGCAGTTTTAAGAATGCTGTAGTTTTAGGACAAACAAATACTATATTTCTATCTTTCAAAGACAAGTGTGAAAGATTCAGAAATATTTTCTACAAGGAGAGGTACATTGTATTTTTATCTGAAGCACCATGTTTTCTAACAATCAGTTTTTTCTGATACCTTTGTCTCAATTACCTTAGGTCAGTGTTTGTTGAGTTGTTATTAAGGTCAAGACTTAGTTGGATATCATTTATCAGTCCCCCTTGATTGCTTTAATGATGAACTTGATAAGCATCTTATTGTATTTCTTATTTATTATTAAGGGGGTAAAAAAAGCTATTTTAATTTAGGGAGTAATTTTTATTATGATGACTTCAAAATCAAGAAAAATATAATAATTTTATCAGTACTTAATAATTTTAATGACATTGATAAAACCACGTAATTATACACACATACACACACATATATAACTATATGCTTATAATTATATAAATATAAGAAAGAAAATTTTTGTGGCAAGGTTATTATTGCTGTATTACCTTTATGAATAAAATAAAACAAAAATAATCTTATTAGTACTGAAAATCCATACTAATCCTGTTGACCACAAATTTTAGTGTTACAACTATAAAATTGCAAAGACAAGAAATAAATATTTGCAAAGATATGGTGATACTTCAGCCTTAATAGTGAAAGGCCAGTAATCTTATTTCATTAACTAATATCTCAGTTATCTGAGTAATGTTTGAGACCACAACCTGAAGAGCTGCTTTGGGGATTAATTTTTTTTTCTTTTCCTTTTTCTTTTTTTTTCTTTTTAGAGTTTACATGGCACAGAAGGTATGGTCATGGAGGTAAGTTGATGAAAGGGTTAATTTTTAAATAGCTTTCCTCAAATAAATCATATTTCATCCTGCTTTAAGCTATTAATTCTCCAAACTTCAAGCAAGTAATTAATGTTAGCGCACTTGGAAATTTTGTAAGATGATTTATCTAGGGTCTTAAGGCAACTTGTTTGATTGCCAGAATGAATGAATGGATACACCACGAACAAATATCCAACTACAAGATTGTAGCAGATGGAATATATTCAATGTAACCTGTATTTTTTCCTGCATGCTTTGTAACAATCCTATGCTACTAAATTTTGAAGCAATATTTTCAATATTGTAAAAATCTAGCTTATTTTGAAAGCCTCCTGCTTTGCTGCACACATCACTTTAACTAAAGTTAATGAACTTGGAACCTTAAGATTCAGTTTAATTAGAAATCCAAAGACCTTGCAAAATTTATTGTTTATTTTTTATTGAATATAATTAGCAATCCTGCTAGTTTAGATTCTATTTCAACAACTGAACAGTTCTTGCCAGAAGTATAGGCAATATAGTAGACTGCAAAAAAAAAAGAATCTAGAGTAAGGCCAGCCTGGATTTACATAGTCAACCTGGTATTCACTAGTTATGTGATCTTGTGCAAATTATTCAACTTCTATGAGACTCAACTTTCCAACATGTAACAATCACAGGATTCTTGTGAGAACTAAAAAAATAATGTGACAGGGCTTCCCTGGTAGCGCAGTGGTTGGGAGTCCGCCTGCCGACGCAGGAGACACGGGTTCGTGCCCCGGTCCGGGAAGATCCCGCATGCCGCGGAGCGGCTCGTCCCGTGAGCCATGGCCGCTGAACCTGTGCGTCTGGAGCCTGTGCTGCGCAACGGGAGAGGCCACAACAGTGAGAGGCCCGCGTACCGCAAAAAAATAAAGAATAAAAAATAATAATGTGACAATAGCTTCCAGCACAGTGACATACATAGTAGGTGCTCAGTAAACATAGTAAAACTGGTAACTGATAAAAGCCACAGCATAGTGGTAGGAGAATGAATAATTAGGAAGAATCACTGAGCACCCAATGCCAGAACTTCCATGCCAAAGCAAGATATTCATGCCAGAGTGGGTCTGAATTTCCATCTGTAGGGAATTAAGAAAAAGGACAGTCCTAGCATGAAGCACATCAAAGCTATTTCTGTTTCCTCCTTGTGAGTTAGGAATAACTGCATTTAGGCTATATAAAGATCAGTGAGATATGTTTCTTGACTTCAAGAACCTTACGTATAATAGGGAATAATAAAAGTAAGATTAACAGATTTATAAGAGAAATAAGAATTTTAAAACCATTACTTTGAGGAATAAATGAGTATTTAAGGATGGAGCTAGTAGGTAAGGGAAATGAAGTATTTCAATTATTAGAAATGGAGCTAATTCTTAGAGGCAGTGGCACAAATAAAGTGCAGATGTGGGCAAATATGGGCTGTGTTAGATCACTAATTCAAAGAACTCTTGTTCTGCAGGATGTTAGTAGGACTTCATTGTCAAATAAATTTGAGAAAGGCTAGTTCATTAAAGTTCAACAGTTTATTATTAAGTGTAATACATGTATTAGTTTCCTAGGACAGCTATAGCTATAATAAAGTGCCACCAACTGGGTGGCTTAGAACAACAGAAATTTATTGTCTGAGAGTTCTAAAAGTCCCAAACCAAGGAGATATCAGGGTCATGCTTCTGCTAAATCCTGTAGGGGAAAGCTCCTTCCTCGCCTCTTTCAGCTTCTGGTACCCCCATCATTCCTTGGCTTGTCGCAGCATACATAGGTAGACATAAGGTAGGTGTGGACAGACGCCCAGATAGTTATGCAAAACACAGTGTGTAGAGCTTCAGGGTTGGACCATAGGTCAAGGAAATGGTTGCCATCAAGAAATGTGATAGGCTCTTCTTAGGCAGGTAATGCTATGCTAAGGAAAATTTAGTCAACTTAACCATTCTGCTAACCAGATCCTAATCTTCCTTCTAATTATTGGATTTCTGCACATTCTCAAGGCCAACTCCTTATATTTTAGTTATGATAAATTACTGCAATGTTACCTATTACCCATGAGACTAAAGAATTAGGGCACCAGAGTATTCAAAGCCTAAGCCCTAAATGTCCTTGTTCTCTTATCAGTGGAGAACGATTGACAATGAAGACAAGAAACATGCTTTGAGACAATTTAAATATTGTTTCATTTGGAAAGTTTATTGTATTTCAAGAGAGTCTACAACACTCCCTATCCCATAACCACTGTAGCATTGTAAATATTGTAAAAATTTTAATATTAGACTGTGTTAAAATTTTGTTTTCATCGCTTTTTTCTAATAGATTTTTTTCCTGAGAATCTTATTACAGCATACTTATATAAAATTATGTTTGAAAACTAACAGATTGAGATGACATATTACAGAGTGAGAAATAGGATTTGATTCATAATGAATATAAAATGAATAAAAAATAACTCTCAAAAATAAATAACTCTCAAGCACAGATAGTAATTATACTTTCAATTTCCAGAGATAAAATAGGATAGCAAGGTTACAGTGGACCATCTCTATACAGTGAGAGGTGAAGTAATACCATTTAAGATCATACAACTAAGTGATTACATTAACCATGAGACTGAGAATGCTACTGAAAAAAGCAGCAGTTTTTGCCTCTTGCTCACATCTGTGAATTTGACAGCAAATATTCATACATGATTTCTTTTTTTCTGTTAATCTTCTTGATCAGATTTAAGAAATGAACTTACTTCTGCAATATATTACCACTATATGGTAGAAAATACACAAATTTGCATTGAGTAGATCAAAAAAAGAGTGAAGTGCTGTATTCAATTAGCTTGAGAAGTCATCTATATAATTGTGTGCTCCTTTTTAGAAGAATATATCCAGTACAAAAAAGAGCATGTGTTTTAAAAATAATCTTATTTTTTTAAACATATTATCCATGTGTTTCTTGTACCCTTTAACCCCATAATACTTCCAAAGCATGATAATTTGTCTTCTAATTATTTCCATGGCCCTAGAAGAAAGGCAATGGATGGCTTAATTTTTGTTGATGGAGATTATAATGCTTATATTAATGGATCCTTTGCTGAACCTTGTGTTGTATTCCCCCTGAAAGTTCTTTTTCCTTGATCTGGGCTACCTAGCTGAGATAACAGAGCAATGAGCTCAGATAGTATTCAAGGGGGTTATGAAGTTCACATTCAGAAGTTCACACTGAGCATGCCACAACAATTCAAAACCTTGTGTTGAGTAATTTATCTTCCCAGAGCCCAAATATGTTCTCAAAATAAAATGTATAAAGTAATTGGTAAACCACCTAATGGAATATTATGCATTATTTTAATCAGGCTAGAAAATTTTACAAAAGCTAGAAATTCACATTTATAAAATATACTGAGTAGAAACACTAATGTGACGTGGTGTGTCATATTCTGCTTTTTGATCTAGAAAGCGGGCAAAGGGAAATATCTTAAATGTAATATTTTCTCAAAGTGAAAAATAAATTAAATATTTTATTGGAAATTAGCTTCATATTTTTATCCCTTAAATGTTTTGTTGTCTCTTCCTATAAAGGGCAGATGGAAGTGGAGTACTAGAAAATATCTGCATATAATTTTGGAAAAGCACTTGCCATTGAGAAAAAATAGCATGGGGCACTGATAATACCCAGTTTGGTCTATAAACTTCAATCCAGCTCATCCCAAAAGTGTTTTATTTTTACATCTATCCTTTGAGGGATTGCCTATCAATAGATATAGTCCCATCATTATTAACATGTGGCATTACATTATTTTCAATGGAAATATCCATTGCTGGTATCTTTTCCAGAAAAAAAAAAACAAAAAACTAAGGATTATGATCATGATGAAGAAACTATAAACATATTTTCAGTTTACTAAAAGATGACCGATTTTTATCTCAAAGGCATATAACTTAAAATCATAGAGTCAGAAAGTACGTTGGTAGATGCCAGGGGCCGGGAGGTGGGGGGGTGGGGAGGATGAATGGGGAGTTTTTAGTGTTTAATGGGGACAAAGTTTCAGCTTAGGAAGGTGAAAAGTTCAGGAGATGGATGATTGTGAGAGTTGCACAACAGTGTGAATGTACTTAGTGCCACTGAATTGTACAGTTAAATATGGTTAAAATAGTATGTTTTATACTATGTGACTTACCACAATAAAAAAATATTAAGAAATAAAGTAAAAATGAAAAAAAGATACACTATAAAAAAAACCATGCATTTTATGAAAATATGCAAATCTACTAATCTCTACCTCCGTATTGATGTATGTTTATGTGCAGCTGTCTTTGTTGTATTTCAAAGCACAGTACAGTACTTTAAATAATCAAGGCAACTTGGAATGAACAAAACTCACTTCATTTCAAAGTGATAAAAGTAGTTATTTCAAGAAGGCTAATAAAATTATAAATTAAATTGAGAATTCAGGATTATTACAAACCCTATACTGGCACTACCAGACGGCACTCTAGAAGCAGGAGCTAGCAGGCCAGGATTAACTATTTCTACATTGGAAATACAATACTGTTGAAGAATCTTTAGGTAATGAAACCCTGCACCTATTGAGATGAGTTCAAATTTTGTGAAATAGTGTTTATTATTAAACCATTATTAAACGAAGTAGATACTTAATTGACAGCCTTTTCAATTTGCTGCTTAATGCAAAATTCTCCGATGCAAGTTGGAGTCGACCTAAAGAAAAATCCCTAACCTTAAAGACCTGAAATTCTATTAAAAGTGTCTTTCATAGGGGACTTCCCTGGTGGCACAGTGGTTAAGAATCCGCCTGCCAATGTCAGGGTCAGAGGTTCGAGCCCTGGTCCTGGAGGATCCCACATGCCACGGGGCAACTAACATGTGCCACAACTACTGAGCCTGGGCTCTAGAGCCTGCGAGCCACAACTACTGAGCCCACGGGCCACAACTACTGAAGCCTGTGCACCTAGATCCCGTGCTCCGCAACAAGAGAAGCCACTGCCGTGAGAAGCCTGCGCATTGCAACAAAGAATAGCCCCCGCTCACTGCAGCTAGAGAAAGCCCACATGCAGCAACGAAAAACCAAGGCAGCCAAAAATGAATTAATTAATTAATTTAAAAAATAAATTTTTGAAAACAGTGTCTTTCACAGAGCATAACTTTTAAATTTTAATAAAGTCCAACTTATCAATTTTTTTTTCTTTCATGGATCATGCTTTTGACATTATGTCTCAAAACTTCACCATATGCAAAGTCAGAATCAAGTCATTGACTGAATTAAGGACAACCAACATCTCTAGTTCACCAAACTGTAGCCTCACAGATGACAATCTAAAATTCTTATGCCGCCACTGATGTAGCAAATGGAAACTCAAGATCTAATCCAGTGCAGATCAGGGGGTTTCTGCTTAAATTATATGCATAATTGCACCAAACATCCATTCCTCTTTAAATTTGATGATCTTTTCTATTGGTAATGATAGTAATACCATAATCATCAGGCTTGCATATAAATACAATGTACTTAGAAGATATTCATGAGCTTTAAACTCCCCTAACACTATTTATTTTTAGTATTCTAAATATTTAGTCTATTTAGGTATTTTTTTAAATTGTTCAAAAAATTTCATACTAAACTCATAATTCATTAGAGGGTAAAGTGAGAATAGAAGTCATCTTACCTTCCAGAAGAGAATCAACATATATTAATAAAATTGAACTCCTCTGCTTGTCTTTGTAAGTTTTTTGGTTTTTTTGCGGGGGGAGTTTGGAAGAAACAACAGACTCTCCAGGGCAGCAGTGTTACTAAATTGCTCCAGTCAGAAAAGCTGTGCAACTGGGAAAGACTCAAGGAAGAGCTTATGAGATTGTCCAAGTGGGAAGAAAAAATAGCATATGATTTTTACCATAGATAAGCACAAGGTCATATTTTTGAGATTAGAAAATCTAGACCCTACATCCAAAGGAAGGTCTAGTTATCAGGGATTTGGGTTTCATTCCTCATTCTTCCCTGGTGTGCTATTACATCCTGAAAGGCCAGAAAACATTGGACATCATCAGGAAAATTATAGAAGCAAAGCAGAAAACATTATATGCATTTCTAGTTTTTATAATTTCAGGGATATGGAACTAGACAGAGCTCAGAGCAGGACTTCAAGAGCATTAGCAGAGGACTTCTGTGAACACCTTGCACTCATTGTCTTACTTATGGTTGCAGAAGGCCTGTGAAGTCCTTCGGGCATGTGCCCCTATTCCTTTCTTTTTTTTAAACTGTAGATACCATGTAGAACAAACTTATATAAAACAACGACTAGAACACTGCACAGCTGGAGCTAAATCCCAGTTTCTCTGGTTCCTCCAATTCTGACCCAGCAATTTATCTGAGGTCTGAAATAGAATGGTGGTTTTGGAATGTAACTAAGGTCTATAAATTCTTGAATGGCAATTTCAGCAAATTCCAACTAAAAATGAGGCTTCTCCCTTTGAAATATTTCAGGTCAGTTTAGAAAAATTAATGCTTCATACTGGGAGAAACTAACTGAAGGTTTTTGTTAGTCATCTATGTACACAGAAATAGGTATTGACATAATGCTTATGGCACCATAGCTACAAGAATGAATAAAATTTGGCCCCTGAAGTTTTTGGAATTAGTCTAAGAGCTGATATACATAAGATATTTAAATTAAATTTTGAAAAGATTGGCAAATTCATGAGAATGTTGGTAAAATCAGTACTTATTGATTACTGACTACATGGGTTGTCTCAATGTCATTCTCACAATAGTCCAATGAGATAGATTTTATTATTATCCACATTTTATAATGCATGATACCGAGTATTGGAGACATTAAATAATTTTTCCAAAAGCACTGCTAAACAGTACTAAAGCAAGATTTAAAAGACGTAATTAAACTGCTTGTTAAGAGAAACTGGGAGAAAGCTTTTATCCTTAAGTTTAATGTTAGAACAACCAAAATTTCAGTGTAGCATTTGCCTTACACTCTCTCTTAAAAAAGTAAATTGGAGGAGTGAACCATAGCTTTTGATCAAGCAGAGACATTACAGTGATCCCATGTAAGACTATTCCTCATTTCTAGTGATATACATCAGTATTAATTCATTTGGGGTATATGGCTCTTAGCTGTGCTCTGTGAATGGTGCCACACTGATGACATGGGAGTGAATCTCTTCTCCTCATCCTGCTATAAGGTGTCACACCTGCCCTCCAGAGAGGATACACAGTCAAGAACAACTGCTTCTCAACACTATTTTTGTGGTAGATTTTTTTTGTTGTTGTAGATTTTGTGGTATTTTTGTGGTAGATTTTAAACGAGTTGGCCAGATCCCATATCATGTAATTAGTTTACTGATTGTTCTAGATGTTGCTAAGTATTAGTGCTGGTCACATGTTTAAAGACAAAAACAAAAACTAAACAAGAACTGACCCCCAAAAAGGACTCATTTCCCCAGAGCATCTAGAAATTCATTTGTTATGTTGTTCAAAAGTTGTTAAGCATCTAGTATGTTCCAGACCTGTCCCCAGGCATCTGCAATCTAGTGAAACAGAAAGTTGTATCAAGAATCACAGCAGATGTGTTAAGTGTCATAAGCCTGATAGGGAGTTATAAGAACATAAATGAGGGCTAACTAAAGCTAGGAGGGGTTGGAGAGGTGGCTTTGTGAAGGAACTAATGCTATGACTAGATCATAAAGGAGTGTACAGATTTTTTTTTTTTAGATTTAAACTTTTTTTTTCTTTTTTTCTGATTTATTTATTTATTTATTTTTGGCTACATTGGGTCTTTGTTGCTGTGTGTGGGCTTTCTCTAGTTGCGGTGAGCAGGGGCTACTCTTTATTGTGGTGCGCGGGCTTCTCATTGCGGTGGCTTCTCTTGTTGCGGAGCACAGGCTCTAGGTGTATGGGCTTCAGTAGTTGTGGCACGTGGGCTCAGTAGTTGTAGTTCATGGGCTCCAGACACACAGGCTCAGTAGTTGTGGTGCACGGGCCTAGTTGCTCCGCAGCATGTGGGATCTTCCCAGACCAGGGCTCGAACCCATGTCCCCTGCATTGGCAGGGAGATTCTCAACCACTGAGCCACCAGGGATTCCAGGAGTGTACAAATTTTGATAAGAGGAGAAAAGTCAGATGGTGATTACAAAAAGAGGAAAAGTATGTGCAAAGTGTCAGAGGCATAGAAAGCATGACTTGCATGAGGAGCCATAAATAGTGAAGCATGGCACCGCAGAGTGCTTTTGGAGAAATGCTGAGAGATGGGCAGAAAAGAATTTTGAATAAAGAACCTGAACATTTTCCTCAGGATTATAGTGGCAAATATCTTTGGTTTGAATAAAAATGGAGACTCCATGTTTCTGACCTTTTTTTCAAAAAACTTTTTAATGTACCCAAATTATCTTTGATTTGTAAAATAGAACAATGTAAAATAATTGTATTTTTCTTATAGTTTCTGAGGAAGACAAAGGATTTGGACCAATTTTTGAAGAACAACCAATCAATACCATTTATCCAGAGGAGTCACCAGAAGGAAAAGTTTCACTAAACTGTAGGGCACGAGCCAGCCCTTTCCCAGTTTACAAGTAATGTACCTCATTGCTCTTTTCAGAAATAAGTGTTGGACTAAAGATTACAGATCAGCATCTATGACCCTGTATCTACAGAGAAAGCTATGGCATAAAGCTTTCTATGAAGTCCAGGAACATTAACAAAAATATTGTCATACAGGTTATTTTTTAAAAGTTGTTAATACCCAAATAGGTAGGTTTTGCAAATATATGCAAATAATTCACTTCCTATTTCCTGCACAGATAATGCCAGTGCCATTTGACATTATCCACTTAAAAACTGGCTAATGGAGATCATGCTGTTAAGTAAGAAAATGGTTATATGAATAATATGCACAATTTAAATATATGCATTTGAGGATAAACTGGTTTTGTATGTATTGGCCTGGATAACTCATACCTACGGATGATGGATAGTATTTCTATATTAATTACATTTAAAGAGCTTCTTACATAGATAACTCTAGAAAGCACTATTTTTTCAGTAGTCTCAAATCTATATTCCAGACAACAAAGCAAATTCCTTAAATGTCTCTACATATTGGACAATCTATATAACATACCTCTTTATGTTTTTCTGGGATACATATTTATGCTATCAAAAATAACTTTATAAAAAGTAACATTTGGTTCTCTTGCTTCAGAGTGTTCAGAAAAGTATACTAACAGTTTCTAGCCTGATGCAAAGAATAAGATTTAAAACTTAAGCAAATGCCAATGGATTTTGGTTCCAGGAAAATAAAGCAAGTGATTGATGGGGAAATTGGGGCTGTAGTGTGTTAATGTCACCCGAGTTAATTGAAGGTTGTCATTCAACAAAGTTGATTTTAGTACTAGATTTTTCTTCTCATGGATAGAAAAATAACTTTCTATTGTTATTAAAAAGTTGTTATCATGGAGAATACCCTTTCCCCCCATTTAATTATACTTGAACTCATTTTCTCTTGCCTCTGGCTATAATTACAAAAATTTTTTTTAAATAAATATAAATTTATATATAAAATCATCTCTTTAAAATTATTTTTATAATTTTATAAAAGTAGACGTAGATATTTTGTAAATTATAAATAACACATTTGTTCTGAAAATATTTGATGGGCTAGATTTATTTCTACCCTTAAGTCATATATAATGGGAGTTTATGTACATAACTGTGGACATGGCATAGTATAACTAATGGGGGCTCTAGAGAAGATTTAATCCAGGTACAAAATTTTATAGGAGAGGAAGCTGAGTTCTGAATAAGTAAGTTGACTTGCTCTGCTCCAGAGCTAGTAAATCACAGATCCAGGACTGAAATACAGGTTTTATGACTTTCAAAGAAACATATAATTTTTTTCAGTATTTATCTATCTAGACGAGTCAATAGCATTTCAAAAACTATTTCAGTGACGGTTATTCTGTGACAGTCTGTCCTTGACATTCATATATGGAACCTAAGCAAATCAGCCTCCAGCCTCCAATGGAAGAGAAAAGAACAGCAGAGGTTGTTCTCAGATAGTATTCTACGAATGTGTACTTCTCTTTGCTGCCGCCACTACCACCATCCAGCAGAGACAGTAAGAAGCAAAGTTTTACATCAGTAAAATTTTGTACATGTTGATTATCACCTCTCTCTAGCTCCCTCCTGCTAGTCCCACTTAGTCTTCTCATTAAAATATAAAGAAGAACAATGAAAAGCAAAACTTTGCTTGGCAAATACATCACCAACTCCCTCCCAAAGGTTGCATCAGCACGTAAGTCCCCAGGGCAAGTACGGCCTGATTATCTACACGTTAATGTAGAGAGCTGAAGGGGAGAAGTAGACTTTTAATTGTTAAGAAGGTGATCTGCATTTGACATCAAAATAAAAAATATTCAGCTCATGATGCAGCTTGTCTGACAGAAGAACACTTGCAGTTATGAACATTTACTTAATATTCAGGGCAAGCCATACTTACCTTGGTAATCATGAAATTTGTCATTCACATCGTACTTTTATATTTATGGCATGTTCTGTGATAATTTGTTATTCGTGGTAACATCATGAAAGTTACAACAGGGAACTTTACCTTTCACTCATCAGCCTTGAGGTTTTCATTATCTTGCCTTGTCTCCCACAATAACAAGAACTCAAATAAAAATTGTGTTTAAAGCTGTGTAAAAGGAATTACAACAAAGGTGAATCTTCCTCAAAATAAAATAGACCTGTGAACTTACCTCAACACAGCAAAACTTAATCATTATATGACATCAAGGGCAGAATCAGACACACTGGGAAGAAGTTAAAGCAATAAATAAAATTTTAAAGTAAATATAATGAGGGGACGTAAAACATAACAGTTGGAACTGCCTAACAAAGAAACCCATTGCCTTGGCAAGTACTAAGTGACTTGACATTGGATGGTTCAGTCAGGGACAATATTGCCATCAGCTGGGGTGAGGGGGATGATTTATTCATTGGGTTGGTATTAGGCAGGTTTTCAGAAGCAAAGCACAGTTTTCTGTTGTTCGCTTTTGAATTACTTCTTACACAGTAAAAATTAAAACTAAAAATGTTCCAGTAATTTGATTTATTAAAAAATATTATAAAATCATTAGACCTCTTTGGCAAGATTCTGACCCTAATCAGAATTGTGCAGCCAGGCAATGAATGATGGGACCACAGCCCACTGGTTGACCATGGCTCTTGTCTTATAACATTGCAGAAGACATGGAACCTTAACCCTGATAGAACATGATTATAAAATTATGCAGGTGGTCAACTTAATTGACAACTATTTTATATATGCAATCTTCTCATCATCTCACCAAGAAACTTAGATTCCTGCTTCTAGTTGGTTTATTCATAACATCATTTCCATGTAAATATACCTTCAATAGTGTATTTGTGGCTTGGAAACGAAGACCCAGTTGACTTTAATCATGTTCAAATAGTGTGATCGACCTCTAGTGGTCAGAATATGACATTTACTGAGAAGAATCCTGATTTCAATTAGTATGTTTTTGTCAAAAATGACTCATATTTAGAATCAGATATTGATATTTTATATTTTATTTCTGCTATAAGAATGTTTTTAATATTTTATACAATGTGTCTATATGCATGAATCTAAACTAGTGCTTAAATAGTTATCATTTATAATCCATGTATATCTGCTAAGAAACCAGTTTATGCAGCAAAATTCAATGAAATATTTGTCTTTAGGGATGCCTCATGAAAAAAAAGGAAATCATTCATACACTTGAACATTTACCTTTCTGAGCCTGAGCTGAATTATAAATCATGAGCCCAGAGGCACAGAATTATAGGATGTGAAGAAATACCACTCTGAGTCAACTACTTAATCATCTGACTTCACATGGAGTTATACTCATATTATTTTAGAACAATGTTAGCCCAGTACACTGTTTGCAGTCCTCTTGGCCTTTGATATGACATTTATTTCTTTTTGTCATAGATGGAGAATGAATAATGGGGATATTGATCTGACAAGTGATCGGTACAGTATGGTAGGAGGAAACCTTGTTATCAACAATCCTGACAAACAGAAAGATGCTGGAGTATATTACTGTTTAGCATCAAATAACTATGGAATGGTCAGAAGCACTGAAGCAACCTTGAGCTTTGGATGTAAGTAATTGTAAATTTAAAAAGGGCAAATGCATTTAGGTGAAGTAAAACTTAGATGTTATCATAAGAGTTTAACAAAAGGAGAAATCAAGAAAAAAAGAAAGTGAAGGACTCCATAGATGAGGTGTGTCTTTCCAGATTAGTGGGCCTTAATTGTGCAGAGAAGAAAAAATTTCAGGAGAGCAAAATGTCACGAGGGGTATTATGAATGTACTTGAAGTAGTGAAAGATAACACTGGAAAAGAAACTAAGGCCATGTTCGAAAAGATCTTGAATAAGTTTCTAAAGATTACTATCAATGGAAATGCTAAGTTATGCATTCTCAGTGGGGGTGATATCACCCCCAATGTAGTGAAACTTGGTTTTTGCGGTGGGGGGAACCATCTTAGATATTACAACATAATGGTCTATGGCTCTCCAACGCTCAGTCCCACCCAACAAAATCTTATTCCTTAGTATTTAATTTTTCTTGTTAAGAATAAATTAAATAAAATTTCTCATTTTGGGGACAATAATAATGAAAAATATTTTGAGAAACATTGTGCTAAACTAAAAGTTAGAGGTTATTCTGAAAGAAAAATGTGTGTTGGGAGAGGAGCTGGACTAGGTGTTCTCCGTGCGTGATTTTATGTCAGCGTTTAAATATTCTGCAAGATGAATTATAGGATGAAAGTGATATTTTAAAAGGACCCAAGTGGTAGTGATTACCAGGAGGGAGTGAGACAGGGTCAGGAAGTGTAGTCAGATTAAATTGGTGTGGTGACAGAGGGAATGTAAATAATAAACTCAATCCTTGAAGAAATACACAACAGATTGCATTGCATTGAAAGAAAAAGACCTTCAATATTTTCTTAAGGAAAGTCTAGTCAAAAGGCAGAAACATTCTACTCTCTTTAAAATGGGATGGGCACAAGTAAGACCAATTTCAAGGATGGGAGGAAGCATTTAAATTGTCGCTTCACATGCAGAGATGACATTAAGTTATCCACAGTGAGATAGATGTCAGCTAAGTTTTGAGGACAGGGATGGCATTCCAGTGAGGCATCAGGACAAGAAAAGTAGATTTGAAGCATTCTTTGCAAAAAGGTAGTTATTGGAATGATAAATTTTCAGGGACATAAGTATACTGAGAGAAGTAAAAACTAGATTTTATAATTCGAGTACTGATCACATGTAAGGAATAGGAGATGAGGCAAGACTGAAACAAAATGAGAACCAGTAAAACAAATGAAGAATCAAATAGTAGGCTATCAAAAAAACAAGCAAAATGTGAGTTCCAAATACACAGGAGAGAGTAGAGGAAATAAAAACAGGAAAACCCAGAATCTGGAAAAGAGCAAGAGATTGTTGACCTTAACATTCCCCATCTAGCATCCTGCCCTTCATCTTTATTCCTTCTCCCCATTGGAGTCCTCCCTAAGACTTTATCTGGTAGAGCCCTGGGTTTGTTTGAACACACTATTTCCAGATACTTTTATGGAGATTCTTCCTAAATCTGAAAAAAAGTTTAGGAAATGCTCAATCTTCAGGGTTGTCCAAATAGTTATCAGGTGCTACCAATGTCCATACTCTTCTGTAGTGTGTGCACATCCCAGTGTGTGTAAAAGGGGATTAATTGACTTTGGTAGGTTTCACCAAACCAACAGAGAACTATTGTATCTAAAAGTGAGTTAGTAGCTGAAAAATAAACTTTAATGAGTATCAATCTTTCTATTGCCCAGAGAATGAATGTTTTCTTTTTTGTTTTCATGATTAGATCTTGATCCTTTCCCACCTGAGGAACGTCCCGAGGTCAGAGTGAAAGAAGGGAAAGGAATGGTGTTGCTCTGTGACCCTCCATACCATTTCCCAGGTAAACTTAGCTCTTCTGTGATTACAAGCACCTAGGAAATGAAATGGGGAAGTTTCTTTTTTTTGTTTTATTTTCTTAATAATAATGGAACATTTATAATTAAATAAGACTCAATATTTGTGTAACCTTATAATGCATGACTTACTAGTGCTTATAGATGCTTGCTTTCTTAATTACTTAATAACTGGGCCTTAATTCCAAAAATCTACGGTCATTTCAGTTTATAAACAATATATATGTTGGATTATGTCCCTATTAAAGTTCCTGTTACACAGGAGAAAACTCCTGAAATAGAATAGTACCAAAGAAGAATATATAATCCATCATTTTATTAACAATTTAACATCTACAGTATACTGTGAACTGTAATTAAACACTAGAAAGGAATAAAGACATAATAAATTATTAATCTCTGTAGGAGTACCAATACACAAGAAAGGGGTTAAATCAAGTGTCATCTATTACAAAATTCAACTTTTGAATGCATGTTTTCAGTAATTTTATATGGCTAAAAGAAAAGCCACCAAAGTGTTAATTAAAAGATGAACACTGCATACATTTCACTTGTTTTATTTATCAAATATCCTCTTCAAACAATATATTAATACTACTTTTCTCACAGAGAAAAATGTTTTGGGTTCTTATAGTTTTAATATTATGTCATAAAGACATAAAATATTATGTCTTTAAATATCTCCATAGAGAATGATTCATAACAGGCTAGTATAAATCATTTTCTATGGAATATATTAATATGGCATATATATACATATATATATATATACTATTCCAATTATGTATATATAAATTCAGATTGCTTTTTGATCATTTTCTTTCTAATAGCTATGGGAGAAATATAATTAATTGATAAACATAGGAGGAATTTATGAATCCAAAGTGTTGTAAAAAAAATTTCAAAGAGGGAGTAGTCTTTTTTTTGAAGAACTGACAAAACTATGAAAAAAAAATCCTATCATGTTCATAGTGTTTCCCACAAACCAAATGATCATAAGTCACCAGTGTCTACATTTTACCATATTCAACACTGGATGGGCTTCATTCAATCACTCATTCACTCAACAAATCTCTTGCGAGCACTTGTTATGTATCAGGCACTGTATACACCACAGAAATACCTCGGTGAGCAAAATAGAAAAAGCTAATCTCCCTCAGAGACCTTCTACAGGGAGAGAGACAATAGACAAGATAAATAGTTAATAGACTTAGCATGTTAGATATTAATAGATAAGTGAAAGGGAGAACAAATAATCCAGGAAAATGGGGAGAGGAAGTGTTGAAGGGATGGCTAAACTTTTATAAAGGGCATCACTGAGATGGTAATTTTGAAATAAAGCCTGAAGGAAATGAAGAAGCTAAAATTCAGATATTTGAAGGAAGGACATGCCAGATATATGCCACAGCAAGAACAAAGGTCCGAAATGGGAGTATGGAGGAAGACAAAGTAAGCCAGGTTGCTGAAATGGTGAATGAGATACAGGGTAGCAAGGAATGAAATCAAAGGGATACAAGAGATATATTGGGTGGAACCTTATAATCCATAGCAATTACATTGGCTTTTACTTTGAGTGAGAGTTACATTGAAGGGATTTAAGCAGAAGAGTCATATGACATCACTTAAGTTATAGAAAGTTAAATCTGGCTACTGTTGTAAGAAAAGACTCAGGGGAGGGTAAAGGTGAAACCAGGAGATCAGTTCAAAGGTATTGCAATCATCTGGGGAATGAATAGTGGACCAGAGCAGTGGCACTGGAGGTGGAAAGAAATGGTTAAATTCAAGATATATTTTGAAGGAAAAGCCAAGAGGACTGGCTGGTAGACTTTCTGTGAGATATAAGAGAAAAACAGGAGTCAAGGATGACATCAAAGTTTTTGTCATGAGCTCTTGAGAGGATGCAGCTGCGATTGCCTGGAGGAATAGCTATGGACATAAGAGAGAGGTGCCTGATTTAAACTTTCAAAAGGAGCTGTCAGATTGGCAGTTCTGTGAATGTGGAACCCAGGGGCAACATCTGAGCTAGGAATGTCAGTTTGTGATACATCATTATATAGTTTTAAAAGCCATAAGATTGCATGTGGTAACTTAGGGAATTAGAACAAATAGAAAGGGGGAAAATGTCCAGGGAACAGGCTTTGAGATTTTTCTAAGTCTGGTTTTCAAGTCTCTGTGACATCTTTACTACTGTGCCGAATGAAGAATTTCATGGACCAAAACAAGGTTGATAGAAGCTTCAAATCATTAAGCCAAATGACTAATTACCTCTTCATCCTGATAAAGATACATATGTTTATATGGGCAGGGGCAGGGCAGGGAACTAAGTAGGTCTTTTAAGTAAACTGGAGAAACATCATTAATCATAGAATAGAATTGAGCAGCTCTTCATCTCCTTTTGTCCTCTTGTGTTCTTAGCGGATTATGACCTCCTTGAATATTAGACATGCCATCTTCAAACATAAGAATGGACATATGCTTCAAAACCATAATTGTGTGTATGTATGTGAACTATTTTACCATCTCCATGCCATAAATCTATCTTCCTCCTATATGCAGTTAAGTTAAGGTTTTGTGTTTGCAGTTTAAAACTTAATGGCGTTGAAGGTGTAAAGGAACCTGCCTTTGGATTCTGAGCCTCAAAGAATGTTATATATGCAACTATTTATAGTTGTCAAACCCTGTTGCTCTACTTGGTGATCTGATAACCTAGGATTTAGTCCTTTAAGTCCTTTAAGTCCTTTAAGTCAAGTCAAGTCCTTTAAGTCAAGTCAACTTAGACATATCTACATCTTAATTTCCTTGTTTAAAATTTGGGAATAGGGCTTCCCTGGTGGCGCAGTGGTTGAGAGTCCGCCTGCCGATGCAGGGGATACGGGTTCGTGCCCCGGTCTGGGAGGATCCCACGTGCTGTGGAGTGGCTGGGCCCGTGAGCCATGGCCGTTGAGCCTGCTCGTCCGGAGCCTGTGCTCCACAATGGGAGAGGCCACAACAGTGAGAGGCCCACATAAAAAAAAAAAAAAAAAAAAAAAAAAAAAAAAAAAAAAATTTGGGAATAATAATTCCTGTGCCACCTACTTCATATACCTTGTTATGAGATTCAAATTTAATAATATATTTTTAAATGATAAAATGGATATATAATTAAAATGGATTATTATTAAAGTAAATAAAATACATTTAGTACATTTAGTATTTTGAACCTTATTATTAAAGCAAATAAAGTTCTTCTTACTCTACTAAGAATTTTTTGTTCACGATTATAGCAATGTTGTCTTTCTCATTTATGCACAGGAAAAAGGTCTAGAAGGGAAGTCTCATTGTTTACAATCCATTACATTTTTCTATGGATGTTCTACAGTTTCTTGCAAAGGGGAGAACTCTGATTTGAACCAGTTTACTTATTTATAAAGAATACTTATACGTAACTATATCAGTACAGATGTTGATTCAATTTTATAACAACATTTGATATACAACGGATTGCCTAAGGCCTAGCACAGAAAAAGTGTCCAAAAAATATTTGAGGACTGAGAGAGTGAAAGAGTAAATAAATGTGTTCATTAAATTGGTGGATATGTAGTGATTATAATTTCATTAAAAGATAAATTTTCCTGTTAAGATTTTGTTTTGTTAAATAGCAATCAATAATTCATGAATGTGTAAGACTTCCTAAACCCCTAGACCCTCAGAAAATGAAAACATGATGCTTTGTTTCCGGCCAATTTTCAGAACCATCAGAAATTGAGTTATACATCTCACAAAATAGAAATCATATATGTGCATATTAAGTGAGAGAATAAAGATGAAATCCATTGTTCAAAGGGTGGATACTATTGACAAAATATGGAATACCTAGTAATAGACATGGTGTGAATTTTTTTAATGAATAAGAAAGTGGGAATACTCCTAAGAAAAATAACTCATGAAATGTTGAATATGATATTGAATGAATCTCAATAGACTAAAAAGGTAAGCACAAAAATAGACACGAATGCCAGAGCATGGTAGGGAATATATGAGCCCACGGTATAAGTTGGTATAAATTTCTTTCTAAAAGAGTTTACTGTATAGTTTACTGTGAGTATCAAAGAAAAATTAGAAGCTATAGTGATTTTATTGGTATAGGTAAATTCTGTTCTATTGAGGTTAATTAACAAAAAAAGTACAAACATCTTCTAAAAAGTTTGTGAATTATTCTCCCAGGGAACACTTAAGTACTTTAAATCTATTTCAAGGAGAAATATATATTATTTATCAAGGTTAGATAAGTGATGTATTTCAAAGTAATACAATGAAACTAGTCAAATGCAGTATAATTGGCCAAAACAAATCCCCCTGTAATATGGTCCAGACTCTCTTGAGGCAAAGGAAAAAAATCCCAGACATCTATCAATAAAAGTAATGTTTTTGAAACAGGTGATGTTACTTATTACTTTTTCTAAAAAGGTAATTTTATAATAATTTATTTTTTAAGCCAGACAGCAGGGCTATGAAGAAAGCAGGTGTTGGCTTCTTCAGAGATGGTTAATTTTACCATATGCATGGGGCAGGGGAAGACAGATAGATAATCGATTGAGTCCCTGTGAGAACTTGGTCAGGGTTTGGCTCTTGATTGCCTAAATTCAGTCTCATTCTTAAGTCCGAGCAGCAGGGCAGCTACCACACCAGTCGTGGAACCGTTTTGGTAGTTCTGGGGTGGAAAGGGAAGTTGGAAGATCTGTTCTGCCTCCCTACTGCTCTATATCCCCGGGGAAGTCAACCAGCTAAAGCTCTGTGTCCCTGTTTAAAAATGGCAATAGCAATTCCTACCTTTATTTTAATGAGAAATGAGAGCTTCCAACATATTGCAATTATTCTTTCGTCCAAGTAGATGGCTTATCAGTAGGCAAAAATTCTTTAAAAAAATTTAGATTAACTATTAATATTACAAGTCCCATAGGGCAAAGACCAAATCTGTCTTGTTTAGTGGCACATAGAAGATAACTCAGTAAACTGGAGAATCCACATTGGGCATTAAATCAGCCAGACCAGTTGCTCTGTAGTCTAACACTTATGTTTCTATCAACATCATGGAAATAACTTCTCTGACCTAGATTTTTTCCCTTGAAGATTCAAATAGTAAAACATTATCCCATTCCTCATTTCTAATGAGTGGTAAACAGAAAACTTTCTTAAAATTTACAGAAACTGAATAATATAGTAATTAAAATAGACTGACTAAAGTCATATTTAGTCTAGAATTAAAATACAGTTCTCCATATTCACATAACTATGGCGTACTCAGACTATTCTGAATGCATTTTGTGTGTGGTATCTTGAAATCATTGTATAGCTAATAAAATCCTTCTTCTGTAAGGAAATCTATACTTTCCTGACTCTTTCTGACTTTTTGGAATTTAATTTTGTGCGGAAATCATTACAAAACTATTAATTTTCTTTTTAAGTTAGAATACAAAAAAATATTCAAAATTAGGTTTACAGTTGTTAAAATATACTATAAATATTATTTTGGATCAAAGATTACATGGAATTATTTGTTGCCCAATTCCAAGAACCTGATTTCAGCAATTTAAGCAGCCCCCAAAGTTTCTTCCTATTTTGTTTCTCCTGTGGTTTTTACCTGACCTTAAATCAGCATAAGAATAACAATTAAGATAATAGAATCATTCACAGATATAAATGCCTAGAAAGATGTATGCTAACAATGATAACTCTGAGTTGGAGAATTATGGTGGTTTAATTTTCTTTCTCTTTTTAACTTTATCTGTATTTCCTATTATTTTAATAAAAATAAACTTCTATAATTAAAAAGTTAAGATGAAAAAGCAATAATAATCTTCATTTGCTTTTATAATAGTGTATATTGCTGGAGAAAATTACATAGCTAATCTAAATGGAATCCCCTGGATGATTATTCTCAAGCATGCTGAATGTATATAGTGTGCAATTCTTATAGTTTTTTCTATTCAGCTCTCTTTCACACTCCCATTAGCAGCTTCACCAATCACCTTGAGTTCCCTAAAGCAAAAGGGTATTATGTCACAATTATTTCATTTTTAAAAGATCATGACTTTCCACCATCTTACATCTAAAATCCTTTCTAACTTGAACTAAGATATCCCCTCTTTTTCTGAGGTGATATTCCTAGTGGCAGTTGTCTTCACATGGTTATGATGTTTTAAAGGGAATCAGCATTTTGTGACTGAGAAATACGCATTGCCCAGAGTTCCCTCTTGCACATTACTGCTGCATGTGACTACTGGGGGGGTCATTCCTCAAAGCTGGAAGGGGAGATAGGAATAGAAAACAGCATGAAAAGCAGCAATTTAATGAGGAAATTCAACTTTTGGCCTAGCCAGCCAGTATGTTTAGCCAAAGGAATTTCCTACAGTTAAAAGTTACCATATGATCTGCTTCCTAATATTTAAGAAAACAAATAAGATGCCTTTCTCGGGCTTCCCTGGTGGTGCAGTGGTTGAGAGTCTGTCTGCCGACGCAGGGGTCACGGGTTCATGCCCCGGTCCGGGAAAATACCACATGCCGCGTAGCGGTTGGGTCCGTGAGCCATGGCCGCTGAGCTTGCGCCTCCGGAGGCTGTGCTCCTCAACGGGAGAGGCCACAGCGGTGAGAAGCCCGCATACCGCAAAAAAAAAAAAAAAAAAAAAAAAAAAAAAAGATGCCTTTCTCTGTTTCTGTAGTTTTCACTTTTTAATGTGGCCAGAATAGGCTATGTAAACTCATTCCTAAATCAATCATTTAAAATAGGAGTATAAAAATAAAAAGATATAGAGCCACAGTGTGGTTAGTAATCTTGATATTATCTTTTAAATGCAGTAGGGAAGATGGAATTTGGAATTATTAGACCTGGGTTCAGAATCCTAATTCTTCTTAGCCATGAAATTCTAAGCAAGTCATTTAACCTCTCTGAGTTTCATTTTGCCCATCAATGAAATATATATATATATATATATATATATATATATATATTAGTAATCCATAAATAATTGAGAGAGAGATAGATATAATTGCTTAGCATCACCTTATACTCCTCAAACTACAGTAGCTTTTAGAAAATTTTCAGTTTATCTTGGCCTATTTCCAACTTCTTGGCTCTACAAAAGCTTAGATTAGATTATGTGCTTATTACTACAAAGCAAAATCTTTGCTTTTGGAGAAGAGCTTAATACTTAGTCAACAATATTTTCTTCTAGATGATCTTAGCTACCGCTGGCTTCTAAATGAATTTCCTGTATTTATCACAATGGATAAACGAAGATTTGTGTCTCAGACAAATGGCAATCTCTACATTGCTAATGTTGAGGCATCAGACAAAGGGAATTATTCCTGCTTTGTATCCAGTCCCTCTATTACAAAGAGTGTGTTCAGCAAATTTATCCCACTCATTCCACTACCAGAACGTAAGTATCATATTTGTTCCTCTGTTTTTGCAAGTTTGTCTGCTTATGGCATACTTACAATAATGAAAAGAGATATCCAGTGGGGAGAACAGCTGACTGCTCTGTCGGAGCAAACAGAGGATACATACTTTGTAAGCCTTGCCCTTCCTTAGTTTTTCCCATAGAGAAGATTTACATCATAAAAGTGTCCTAAGGTGGTTGAGTTTGGACTGGTTGCCTCTAGCTCAGGGAATGCATAGAGAACCAATCAATTCATTAGCAAAATACCAGTATATCATTTACAATGGGAATCACCAGCAACTGTTTTTTGTTTCATGTCCAATCCTACTTCTTAGTAAATTCATGAAAGAGAATGAATGATTAGATCAAAACAAACTATAGTGATTACAGAATTGGGAGGCGGGGGGAAGAAGGCAATTGGATTATTTTGATATTTTTAAGGAACTATTTACATGAAGCAAATAAGTATATAATTTGCCTTTCTACTGTAAGTAGTGTAGGGTATGACTACCATGGTGCCATATTTGATGACCACTAACATTCTTGACTGGCCTTTTCTCAGGCTTCAATTGAATGAACTGCATTCCGTTTTTTAATGTACCACTTCCTGAGAAAATCAGATCACAATATGTTTTCTTACTTCACATTATTTTTATCTCAGTCCTGCTGCTACACTCATATCACTGAGTTCAAGCTTCTGAAGAAATACTGGTACTGTTGTTGACAGACTTAGGTTTGGTTCCTACCACTACCCTTAAGTTGTATATAACAATGGGGAAAAGTCCATCATACCACAAAGATTCTATTTTTATGATTCTCAAGATAGCAGTCACATGGTTAGAATTCAATAAATATCTTCTGATTTTCTGGCTTTTTTTCCCCTCCCAAATCTTAGGAGATACTCTCACCACTACTTTGCAGAGTGAAAAGGAGCCATCATGTAAAAATTTCCCTAATTTTCTTCCCTATGCTTCCCTGGAAATTCAGTGCTTCTTTCTTTCTCGGTGGAAGAAGTGTTTCTCCTGCTGCTCAGGCTGCTTCCTCCAGTTGCCCTGGTTCACAGTCCATTTGATTCATTTAAGGACATCACTACATCACTCTTCCCTTTCTTTTCTGAATCTTCAAACTCTCCTCCATTCCTTTCCCTCTGCATATTATTTTGTATTCAATGAATAAGTAAAACCACTTCTTATTTGCTAAATCCAAAGGATATTTCCAGGCCTGATACTGCATGAATTTTGACACTTGTTGATCTCTCTGCCTCTCTTGAACTCTCCCTTCTTTTCCTATTGTTTCTGACTACTTCTGCCTCTGCTCATCTCCCACCTGCCTCGCTGACAAATTCTATGCAGTATCCTTCATCAGATCTTCCTCCTTCTAATATTTCTTTCTAATCTTTTTACAAATATTCTCACTCATTTACACCTTTTTCTCTAGTAGCCCTATGTGATGACTCCAAATTTGCATCTCCAAAACTTTTCCCTATATTTAATTCTGAATTCTACCTACATCCTGGGTTTGACACACAGAAATTTCCCAAGGATGTTAAGTTTGAAATATTCCAAGCACATCTTTTATCTCCTCTCTAAACCTCCTCTTCTGGTGTTCTTCATCTCATTTAGCAATACTGTCATATTTCTCATTTAGCAATAATTCGGGGGAGCATTTTTAATCATCACCTCCTCTCCACTGCCATCCTCAGGACAGTGAGCACAGTGGTTCCCATTTAGGACATAGCACTTGGGAAGTTTGAGGAAAATGTGGAACCCAAAGAGAGTGATTCAGCAGACCTAGGATGTGACCCATCCTAGACCCCTAGGGTGTGATCTGCAGGTTCAACAAGCATCCCAGGTGATTTTGATTAATTGGATTTTTGATCTGTACCTTGAGAAAACATTGGTCCAAGGGGCAGTCCTTTTGATTCTGCCTGTAAAATACAACTTGGATCTGCCCTTTCCTTTCTGCTCCCACTGCAACTGTGCCCTCGTTTAGTCCCTCATCTATTTTTCTGAATTTATGAAACACACTCCCTTAGATCTCTGACTCTCTGCTATTTTTCTTCTCCATATTCCTTCTTTAAAACTGACAATACAGTCTTCTACTTAAACCAAAATTAAGATTCATATTACTTCTTTTATCAAAACCTATTAGTAGTTACCCATTGAGGAAATTAGCTTCAAAATCTTTAATATCACAGTTTCCAGTCTTCTATGTTGTTGGTTCAAGCTCATCTTCAACTACATATGCTTCAATATCATTTTGATTCCTAGACCTTTTATAATCCCCTGCACACTCCTGAAGTTCTGTCATAATATGCTATTTCCTCAACTTGAACTGGTCTGGTTCAAATGCCCTCTTTGCTTGAAATTCCCTTGGCCCCTATATACTTCCAACAATCCTCCTTGGCTGCCACTCTTTCAGAGCATTTACTTTTGTTCTGGCTTGTATTTCAGGTCTTTGTGTATCTATTTGTCTTTCTAGTGTTATACAGTGTAAAATACACACTCATGCTGTGATCCTAAACAGTGTATTTAGCCTTTCTGAGCCTATTTCTTCCACTGTAAGATAGAGGGAATTACATCCTTCAATACCGACATGCTAAATAAATGTTGTCATTGATGAACACGGTGATGTTTAAATAAACAATTTTCTTCTTTCCTTCTCTCCTTCCCTCTTTTAAAATTGTTTTCTTTTGCCTTCATCTCCATGGACACTCCTTTTTTCTTTTCTTCCTCTTTCTTGCCTTGCCTCTTTCTTTTGCACTCTTCTCTCGTCTTTCTTCCCTTATCCCTCATTTCCTTCCTTTTTCTCTTTTTTCCTGATTCCCATAGAATACCTGGCAGATCCAAGTTGTATTTTAGAGGCAGAGTCAAAAGGAATGCCCCTTGGATCAGTCTTTTCTCAAGGTACAGATCAAAAATCCAATTCATCAGAATCGCCTGGGATGCTCGTTTCATACCTATTTTATGCTTTTTTATAGCTATTTGATGCTTCCTAAAGAACTGTTGAATTTTTTAGTGATTTGAGTCAAATTGGTTACACCGTTGTCAGAATGAGCCAATATGATTGAAAATGCTTAATAAAATTCATACTGTATGCATACTATGCATAAATAAACAAGTCTATACATTGTGACATGATCAGATATTTTCCAGTACTTGTACAGAGAAAAGTCTTCCATACTGAAGCAATTCTAATCCTATAAAAACCACAGTTAAACAAACGCTACTCTGCTTACTAATTAGTTGATATTTTTGTTTTTCTTAAATTAGGAACAACAAAACCATATCCTGCTGATATTGTAGTTCAGTTCAAGGACATATATGCATTGATGGGCCAAAATGTGACTTTAGAGTGTTTTGCACTTGGCAAGTAAGTATATTCACAGTTTTATATAGAAATACATTAAATTTTGTATTGTTAGGAAATAAATGTTGTAAATGTTTAGCTATAAACATAGAGTAAATTGTCTTTTAAGCATTGTGGACCATTAGCTCTTACTTTCTCCTATTTAAGTCCTGTTCCTGATATCCGTTGGCGGAAGGTCTTAGAACCAATGCCAAGCACGGCTGAGATCAGCACCTCTGGAGCTGTCCTGAAGATCTTCAATATTCAGCTAGAAGATGAAGGCACATATGAATGTGAGGCTGAGAACATTAGAGGAAAGGATAAACACCAGGCAAGAATTTATGTTCAAGGTAGAGATATTGTTTTAATTTTCCATACATTTAATCAATATCTTATTGAAAGCCACTTTCATACTTGAAAAACTAGCGTAAAATGATTAGTTTAAAAATAGTGATGTGAATTACATTATGCAAAAGGATAAAATATTCATCTTTATGTCTAATTAAGTCACAAATATGAGTATATAAGTTAAGAATTTATGCCACTGGTATCATGGGAACACCAATGGATCAATAGTAGTGTTATTGATAATTTTTAGAAAATATAATTCATATAGTTTGTAGACTTTCTTCAAGCTCTCTTTTTTATTTGTACAAGAACCTATGCATTATGACTTAGTTTAACCCAGTGGGTCACAAACTTTAGCATGTTTTAAAATCATCTGGGGGGCTCATTAAAAACACAACTTGCGGGCTTCCCTGGTGGCGCAGTGGTAGTGCAGTGGTTGAGAGTCCGCCTGATGATGCAGGGGACACGGGTTCATGCCCCGGTCTGGGAAGATCCCACATGCCGCGGAGCGGCTGGGCCCGTGAGCCATGGCCGCTGAGCC